TCGGTATAGTTCGCTTGCGGACTAAAATCACGGAGTTTTTTTTTTTTGTTTTTGTTGTACCATAGTCACTTTTAGATCTTATTAATAATTTCCTTGAAGAGTGGATTTTTCATTCGGGAGCTGCAGAACGAACCGTTCTCAAAGAAATGTATAATATCCATCAAATCAATGTTATACTTTAGCGTCCTGTTACACTGATTCATGGTTTAAGCTGACCGTCTTACAGTGTATACACTTTTTCACCTTCTTCTTCTTATTCTTGATTCCATCAAATCATAAGAGCCGGGATAGCTCAGTCGGTATAGCGATCGACTACGGGCTGGAGATTTTCTTTTCTCCACAGCGTCCAAACCAGCTGTGGGGACCACCCAACCTCCTATCCAATGGGTACCGGAGACTTTTTCCACGGTGGTAAAGCGGCCGCTGCGTGAAGCTGACCACACCTCCAGCTATTCCCGAGGTCAAGAAAATGTGTATCTATACATCCACTCCCCCATACGCCTTCACGGTGTAGTACTTACTTAGTTAAGCACAGGGACAACTTGACCTTATCCACGAAATCATATGGGTTTCTGCGATCTCACCAGAAACCTCAGACGTCAAGGTCATTTCAGTAAAACCGGTAGCGTTTTGTGTTTGAAAGGGAGTAAGTATCTGGAGGCTGCATAATCTTGTTTTCCACTGGATATTAATAGAGTGTTCAAACGAATGAGGGTGGGATAGGAGAAACATTCAGTATTTGCGGAGATGAGAAATGCATATACAATTTTAATGGGAAACACCGAAATGACGAGACACGTAATCATATGTGGGCGGATATATTAATATGGAATTTAAACAAGCTTTGAAGCTGGTTTTTGAGAAGATTTAGTAGGTTCAGCACAGGGTCCCACGGGGGCCAAGTTAATGGGCTTTCGTTTTCCATAAAAAGTAGGAAATTTGTTTAATAAACGAGTTACTATCAGCTTCTCGGATTACTCTAATAGTTGTAGGAATGAAGAATTTTATCTTCTGGGTGAAAATCGACCGACATTTCGGAGGAACATGTTGCAATAAACGATCGTGGAGTGGTTTTCTCCAAGTACTTCGGTTTCCCCTGCCAATCTTCATTACACCAATTGCTCTACAATCACCCTCACCTATCATCTGGGGCTGGTACAATAGGCCAGAAGTGATCGCAGTACAAGGGACGTAGTCCCACCCCACTAGCAATTAAAAAAATAAATAAAGAAGGACTTGGAGTACATATGCTAGATTTTCTGACTACCTCGTGCTGGTTTTCTGTTTCTTTAACCGGACTATACAGCAATATAGCCCTGATGACAGAAGTTTCTACACTAGCGACTTCTGTTTACTTTGTTGTATTTTAGCGTCCTGTTGCACTGATTCTCGTCCATGATATGTATGNCCGTTTACTTGCCCGAGTTTGCCACGTCTCCATGTAGAGTACTAAAGCTAGTGTTATTTGTTGCAGACTATGGAAGTGTGTTTCTTAAGTGCAGTAATTTTCATTGCAACTTTGGACCCTGGATCTGCAGCCAACAATTCCATGAACGTTTCGTCCACTGACACTACGCCACAGAACGAGTGGTGCCCTACACACTGCACATGCGCACTGCTGTATCGTGTGGACTGTATGTATGTAAATCTGGGTATTCTACGTGGTTCCATATTTTCGATCAATTCCAACAAAATTCGTGATTTGTGGTTGGATTATAACAATCTCACCAGAATTGAAATCAACGCATTTAACAGAATGGAACTCCTGAAACGTCTAAGTCTCTCGAACAACTATCTGAGGGAACTGCACCCCCGTTTATTTTCCAGTTTGTTCAGTTTGAAGTATCTTGACCTGCGCAGTAACTGTCTTGTGTCTCCGCTACATGACAACCTGTTTGCGTCACTGAGGCAACTACGTGTCTTGAATCTTGACTATAACAAACTCACCACATTGGACCCCAAAATACTGACTCCAGTTTCTAATCACATTGTCGAAATCACACTGTCTAACAACCCTTTCATTTGTGATTGTCACATCCGAGAGGCAGTCGAGTGGTTCAACAGATATAAATTCACTTCAGAAGCCACCTGCGTATATCCAACTGCCGGAAAATCATGGAAGACTCTTTCTTTCAATGGTCATTGTGAGTTCCATCCTCCAATAAATGTTGACTTAACTTGCAAAATGGTATCTAGTCAAGAGGAAAAGGACAGTGAATCATCAGAATCATTCTCTTCAGTACTTTTGATAGTGGGTGGAATTTGCGGATTTCTTCTTATAGTGTGCTCAGGATTGTCCTTATACTCCTGCAGAAGGGCCAACAGAAACACAACTTCGAGTTCTGACCGCAGAGTTAACGAAAACGAAGACTATGACGATATTAGGTCAAATAATTACTATTATTATGAGTATGTTCCTGCATGTGTGTCCAGAAACTTCTCCACTATAAACACCGTAAACGATGCGCCAGAACTACCGAAAAGATCGAAAATCATTGAAACTGAACTCAAAGAATCTCATAAATTTAAAAGATACGTTGATGTATGCGATGTTCGAAGTTGTGAGAGTGAAAGTGGTTCATATATAATACCAGAATCTTCCGAATCCACAGAACAAACTCCATCCCACAAAGTATCTGATTCAGGAAGATCTCCTATCTTCTCCGAGGCCCTCACACACTCTGGTGAGACACTTAATGCTACTGAGTAGAAATATTTGGTTTTAGGAAAGCCCCGTAAAGTCTCCAGACATCATGCAGGCGTACCTCAAGAACAAAAAGAAAATAATTCTCCTTTAATATCAGAAACGATGATTTCAGAATCTTGGGTGTGATACGACAGTTCTGAAATTAGGAGACTTCGGAATACTCACACGCAGAAATCAAAATATCCTTAGAATAGAGACAGCTTTTATAAATCCTGAAAGGATAAACAGGCACACTTCAGCGTTTGTGCAGAACATGACAGTGATCGCTGTCACGTGGAAGAAATCAACAAGATGGCGCTTATCGATATATCGATACAATCCATTTCTCTCTCTTGGCATGAGTGAAGGAACGTCTTCATTTCAATTCTAATATTAATTAAAATGTAAATTTTATATAATTTCGAATATGTTGCCATTTCTGTCTATCACAGTGGCCGAGCGGTCTAAGGCATGAAATGTCTTCTCTCACTTGTACGCTGGGATCGTGGGGTCGAATCCCACTCAAGGTGTGTCTGTGATTGTGTTGTTCTGTGTTTAGGTAGCGGCCTTCCGACGGGCTGATCCCCCGTCAAAGAAGTCCCACCGACTGTGTATGGGTTCAAGAAACTGAAAAAGAGGTCACGGCCCAACAAACGGCCTTAGATCCATATTGATAATAGTCTAAAATGTAGCATTTATCGCAAGATGTTCATGTACTTACGTTTGGAAGGATGTGTGACGTAGGGTGTAAACCTGTAACAATGCAACACAATATCACTATTAAATCTATGATGATAACAGGACTTTACTGCCACAAACCGAAAAAATAGGATTTAATGTGAAATTGTCCATGTAACGAAAAAGTGTAAGAACATTATAATAATTTTCTCATGTACCTCAACGTTTGTAATAAATAGCAGGCCAGAAAGTGAAGCATGCCACTATCACATCATTATCAAAGAAACTCTCCTTATATTTTGGAATTTACAAATGGATGCCAGCATCATATTTATGAACATTTTCATTTTGATCTAAACATATAAATTGGTGAATGCCAAAATTTTAGGGGGTTCTTAGACTTTTAGGAGGAGTTTTCAATTTACAGCGGATGCTCTATGGATCTATCGATGAACGAATATGATTCATATAATCAAATTTCAATTAGTTTTGCATCTTATGTTCTAGATTCAAGATATTTTCCGAAATATTAAGAATATATTCTTCTGGAATTAACTGCCATACAATTTGATAGATGCTTACAAACATTTCGGAAGGAAGTGCTGTGCCCATCTGCAGAGTAAATGACTTTGTATTGGTACACTGTCTCATAAAAAGTACATAAGAAACAATAACTGATTTTCTTATATGTCTCTATTATCTCTGCGCTATACGAGTATAGTCCTGATACTGGCAGCTGCAATAGCCATGTATTTTTTATCACAAATGAAAAATTGGAATATATATATAGACCTGATCTGGGGCCCACTCAGCCTCCTATCCAATGGGTATTGGTGGCGATTTTCCCGGGGTGAAGGAGCCGGGGCGTCAAGCTGACCACTCCCCTCTTTCTAGTGCCGAAGTCAACAATTGTGAAGCTATACCCCACTGTCCCATACGTCTTCATGTCATAGTGCTCAATTAATTAAGCATAGGGACAGCCTCACCTTTCTGTATAATAAATATTTTTAAAATTCTAGCGCGCTTCCAGAAAGAATTCAGAGGGAACGAATGGACCCACTGGAACACGACTGGCGAACTCTGATATAAACAGACTTAATCTGCCATGTGAGCATAGACAGAGGACGGAACTGACAGGAGTTCAACAAGAACTACTTATGATTCCGTTATAAGTGGCAAGGCGGTCAAATTAACGGCACACATATTGCGTGTAAGCAGCCTAGACTAACTGCAGCTTTATAATCACAAACAATTTAGAGCAGATTTGATTCATGGAAAGGTCCGTCGCCATTCCCGCCGGAAGCTTCAAACTCTCTTCCCTCAACAAGAAACCCAAACAATGAGATAAATTAAACTGCAATTCTGACTCTTGCATTGCGTAGGTTTGAAACTCGGTCTGTAACCCTGCAGCCCCTTCCGTACGAATGCAATTAATTACGTAACAAGTGCGTTGTGATCATAATATCTGCACCTACAGGAGTCGAAGTGGTAGGAGGCTGGTAAGAGCTGCGCAAGGAGGAGCTTCACAATTCGTACCCGGGATAGCGTAGTCGATATTGCGACTGGGTACGGGCTACGGGCTAGACGACCGAGGGGTCGGAGTTTGAGCCTCGGTAGGGTCAAGAATTTTCTCATTTCCACGTCGTCCAGACCGGCTCTGTGGTCCACCTAGCCTCCTATCCAATGGGCATCGGGGGCTCTTAACCGAGGGGTAAGGCGGCCGAGGAGTGAAGCTGACTACTCATCTCCAGCTAGCGCTGAGGTCAAGAAAATTTGTATCTATACATCCACTCCCCCACACACCTTCATGGCGCAGTGCTTAATTAGTTACGCACAGGGACAACTTTACAGTTTATCAACTAGTTAGGGTGATCAAGTCGGCGGGAAGAGACGGACTAGGTAGTTGGCAATCGTGGAAGATTGTATTGTATTGTATTGTATTGGAGAGGGTGGGTTTCCCCATGCACTTAGACCAATTGTTGGTCCATTGTGCGTCCCCCTATGATATTCTACCAGTCTCTATTCCCTACAGGTACTGGTGCGTGCCATCAGTCCCGATTCAGCCAGCGAGTTCGGACTCTACTGGCTCAGCGGTATCTCGATGCTTCCCCCCTCTACCAGAGGCGTTAGAGACTACTGTTGGGCGGGAAATGTCCTGAATTTAGCTCAGTGACCTCCTTTGGAGATATGAGATTCTTTTACGTGCCGTAAAACTACGACACGGGACCCACGGCTTAAAGTCCCTCCCGGAGGACTTGTTCCCTGAAATTTTCCGCCCTTAAAATTCCACGATCTCCGCCGGGTTTCAACCCGCGTACCTTGAGTCACGAAATCCTGGGAGATACAAGGACCGCAGATAGATTTCTGAGTTGAAATCTTGAACGGCAGAGGCTATTCCTCAGATCTAGTGGATTAAAACGAATCTTAAAGAAATAGCATTTCAGAGAGCGGAACGGACTCTCTTCTTCCCTTAGGCGGAGAGACCAACTTTATTGTCCCATACAAGAGGACAGATAAAAGTATAATTCCTAATATATTCTGCATAACCTATGTTTGTTAAGGTACGAGGAGGGAAGACAGAAAGTGATGCTAAATAAATGATGTGAAAATGCATTATAAAAATCTTATTTTGTTGCATCCTGTTTGTGGTACTAACAAATGAAAATGGAGGTGTTATCGGCACCCGAACAAATACTCGTACTTTTCTTGATCAACTCAAATCATGTTTCGGCCCAGATAAGCCATTATCAGGCGATTCTCAAGGAACACACAACTGGTAACGGAACACATACAAACTACAGGGTGATTCATATAGAACCGGCCCGACGAAATGAGCTGTAATATAAAATATACCACACAGATATTAAAGTAATTTACACATATCTTGGATTGTGTGCCGTGATCAGAGCAGGTGTTGAAAGCGTCCGCCGTTTTGAAGTAGGCACTAGAAACACTCGCCGTTCAACAGTGAACTCCATGACTGTCGCCTGCGCACTGTAGACACGTTTCGGGATTGTCCTTGACCTTGCAGCATAAGGGTTGCCTGATCATGCGCACACAATTCGACTCAGCACGGCCCACGGATTATTATGTCGTAATTGTGAGCGGTTATATGCATCACCTGCGGAATTATTAGCAAATTCATCGGGCCGGTTCTATACGATTCACCCTGTATACTGCTAGTATAACATTTATAATTTACATGTATTCCAGCACCAGTAGTGCGTTCCTCAGAAATCACTTGAGGATGACCTATCTGGGCTGAAATATTATGAGTTCATTAACAAAAGTATTTCTTTATGTGACGGTAACACCTCTATTTTCATTTTCATTACAAAGAACCCTAATCTTGAATGTCAGTCCTCAAGGGCACAGCCAGAATGCAAGACGCACAAAGTTCATCGTAGCAAGACAAGCTAAAAACAGAACTGCTATTCACAAATTATAACAACAGCAGAACTACAGTAAGTATACAAACCTGTTAAGTTGCGGGCCAAACAAAACAACTCACGGTCACACATCCAACACGCGCGAGGTAGGCAGTGATTCACTCCTTTTCCGTGAAGGGACTTGCGGAGATAAACAAGCAGGAATCCCTCGGAGCAGAAGATAACTCGCGCAGTCCGTAATTATAGCTTTGCTAAATAGCTCTGTCGCCTGACAAGCCAAAAAGAATTTCGAGAAATGCCGACGGTGTGTAGCGGCAACAGCAGCTCAGGGTTGCCAACTTAGGGGGGGGGGGGCAAGCCTAGTATTGAACACTATTTGGGGGTTACAGGTTCGTGTTCTTCGGTCGAGCATGAGCACACTTTCTGTAAACAAATTGTGATTTGTTTCTTCCTGGTCCGTCACACTAACAATATTATAAATGGTTAATTAACTCCGTCTAGTGTGACTGATGGAGTTTTTTCCTCCTTTTTAATATTTTATCCATAACATGTTACGTCTTGAAGAAAGCAGTCTTCTGGGATTTGGCGCCGTGTATATGTGGTGTTAACCGACGTTTCGGAGGAACGTATCGCCCCCATCTTCAGGGTTGAAGAAAAAGTATAGGTAAATCTGCAAGCGACAACACCGTGAGACACGGTAAAGCAG